ATGCCTCGCCCTGCTTCAGCTCTCGCTGGTCGGGCTGCAGCAGCTGACCAGCACTGATCGTCTGGCACTCCCCAGTGAGATGAACCCAGTACCTCAGTTGAAAATGCAGAAATCACCGGTCTTCTGTGTCGCTCGCGTTGGGAGTTGGAGACTGGAGCTGCTCCTATTCGGCCATCTTGTTCCACCCCTATAACATATAATTAAAGTTATCTCATTAAATTTCAAGCACAAGAAATACTGTTTCTGGGAAGAAGAACACATTACTGCCTTTTTGAAGAAATAATTTGTATATGTTAGCCAAAATTCTATTTTTTTTTAATTCTAATGAATAAAAAGTTCACTTTTAAATATTTTAGTTTGCAATTCTATTAGATTGACCATAAAAGTGGTGGGAATAATCTGATAAAAGTATGTACAGATTGAATAGGAAAGACCACAAATTCATGAAAAAAATAGATTTGTATACTTTTAAAATATATCATAATAAATGTTCTCATGAATATATATATGATTAATATTTTGTAGATAATATGTTCACATTAAAATCAGGAGAGGAAACATATGCAGAATCACATTGGAGTTCTGAGGTATTGTGTAATTTTGTTTTCATTATTTAAATACAAATATTGATTGATGAAACTTTAGAGACTTTGACTTTATTGTTTTACCTCTGCATATTGCCCTTCAGTAATTTCTGATATTTTTCAGAACATACTAAACAGTTATTATTTGCTAAGCAGATTATTGCTTCATAGTGCAATTCCACTTATTTTCAGGATTAAATTTAGAAGATAGTGTAGTATAGTGTAAAAATATGGCTTAGAAATTCTGGAAGTTTATTTGGATTCTGAATCTACGTTTGTCTAAAAACTGAGGAATTTCAGTTCAGGGGTCCACCTGTAGGCAAATTTATGATTCTCTGGTATATCTGGATTCAGAGGAAAAAGGTAAAACTTGTTTTGCATACCTTGGAACTTGAGAAGATAATGCTTGGGACTTGAAAGTATTGATATATTTGGATTGTACAGCGTAGAGCTTAAGGAATATTTTAGGCAAAGGAAGAGCAAGAAAAATAGGAAACCTGAGAAACTATAATAAGAACAATTTGGTTGAATAGTGTTTTAAAGAATAAACATCATTTTCACAAAGAGAACTCTTTGAGTTCTTTTGTGGCAGCCATGCTTTCAACCACATAAATATCTGTATTCTGAGATCACAGCTATGTAAAGAGATGGAAAGGGCCTCGCTGGTTGTTAGAAGTAGCTGCTTTATAGCAGTAACAATCATGAGTAGAAGTCAAAAAACCAGTAAGTATTCTGGTTCTGTTACTTACTAGTTATGTAACCTTGGAGAAAATTATTTCGTGTGTTCAAATGTCAGTGGCCTTGTTCATTGAATTAGTGCTAATATCTACCTCTTAGTTATTTTTAATTGAGCAGTGTTGTAATAAAAATAAAAATATTTTGTAAACTGAAAAATGTGTATACAAATGTAAGATAATGATGACAGTGGTATTCAGTGATGTAATAAATATCGAGGGTACTTTTTTTAAACGTGATGGCAGTATTGTCAGAAAAATATTGGGGAAATAACAACAGACATGTGGATTTCTAGTGTAGTGTAAGGGTATGTTAAGTATCAGCAGGCTACTACTACTGTTTTCTAAACTTGCTGGAATTTAGTAAGTTAGACCTCTCTGATGAGATTTTAAATGCTTTGACTATTAGTAATGTTCTTACTGAATAGCAAAAGTGTGCTAAACAGTGAGACCTGAACACACAGGATGAGGACTTATGTTAAAGTGGTAGGAATAGAAAAGCAAGTTAACAACACTTATAAGTAAATATAAGTGATCTCTGTGTAAAGACAGGTAGTGTTAGGTTAGAGAAAATTGAAGAAATTTACAGTTAGGATGGGAATGGGAGTGGCAGTCAAATTCTGTAGTCAGAGATTTGTTTGAGACTGCCAGTCAAGCTCCCATAACAAGCATGAGAGGTAGGATGACGTGTGAAAGTATAGGTGAAAGACATTTGGAGTGGAGAAAAACAACAGATCACATTTGTTTATAATTTTTCTGTTAACATCCTGGAAAGACTAAGAAGTAGAAAGTGGGGTAAACATCATCATCATCATTTTCATTATTGTTACGTGTAGAAAAGTTTCCAAATGTGTTCCTGGCATATAATAAATAAATGCTTTATGAATAAACATTCTTATATTTTTATGAAGGGCTTGCTATACATTTTTGAAATTATGTCTTAATTGAGATCAAGTTACATACTCTTTCTAATATTGGTTTCCTTTCATTTAAACATAATGGAATATGTTTCTTCTTTTAAGTTTCATTCATGTATTTCTTCTGTAATCAAAAATTTTCTCAAAAATATTTGATTATTTCAAATTCTTGTCTACCTAAATAAAGAAACTTCTACAATATTCTGTCTCATACTCTGAAGGTTCTCCTCCTTTCAAGTGTCTTATTTTAACCATGAACAATGAGATCACTTGGACTCAGGAAGGGGAGCATCACACACCGCGGCCTACTATGGGGAGCTGGGAGGGGGAGGGGGGAGGAATTGCATTGGGAGTTATACCTGATGTAAAGGACGAGTTGATGGGTGCTGACGAATTGATGGGTGCAGCACACCAACATGGCACAAGTGTACATATGTAACAAACCTGAACGTTATGCACATGTACCCTAAAACTTAAAGTATAATAATAAAAAAAAAGAAGTAGAAAGACATGTGACCTATAATCAAGAAAAAAGCATACAATGCAAGCAGACTCAACATATGCATGAAAAAAAATTTATAATTATGAATATTTTTAACGTTTAATGTTGTCAATGTTATATAGCAAGAAGCAGGTGATTGTCTTTTGTTTTAAATGCCCTCTCATGTTTCTTGGGGACTACAAAGTAGAGTTAGATATTTTGAAGGTAATTTCCTCTGGAAACATGCACATGAGTGAATATTTTTTCTGAGGATATGTTTTTTTTTTTTTTTTTGGATTTTCATGCTTGGTAACTGTTTCATCAGCTAAATGAAGATGAAAATAAGCTTG